CTGCTTTCTTGCAAGTTGCAACTGCTGGTGCTCGATGCTGCTGCTGCTACTGCTACTATGCTCAACATTGCTGCTGGACTGCTGGTGCTGTAATAATGTGCTGTACGCTGATGCCAGTGCTGTATTACTCAACGCTACTGGTGCTGAATTCCTCGCTGCTAATAAGCAAAAGTTGTTGCTGCTGTGATACTGCATTACTGCTGCAGCTATACTTGATGTTGCTGCTGTAGTATTGCAAGCCTTAGAACAATTAGTTTTTTGTTTTTTTGGATGAAATAGTGATATTACAAGCTTTTTTTTAATGACATCATAAGCCTAATAACTATATTAAAAAGACTAAGTTTTAGAATTTCTAAATGTAATCAGCAAACATCATTAAGAGTAAGATTATGTATAAGATGATGTCTAAGCTTTAATGTCTTTTTAACTCTTACTGTAGTAAACATTTAAATAAATTTTAATTTTGAAAAACAAGATATCCTGATGAATGAAGCAATGTCATGTTATAGTAGAATCAGGCTTCAAAGTATTTGTATTTGCAGTCAAGGACTGGGTTTCGTCATTTGCTTTTGTGGAGGCCTTAATTGTTGTAGTTGATGGACTAGTACTGTATGTTTTGGTCTTCTTTTACTACCTCTGGTTCTTATTGCTTGCAACAAAGGGGTAATATTTGTGAGACATAAAATATTCCTTTATTGCGAGTAATAAGAACCGGAGGTAGTATTAGACTTCAAAGAATTTTGGTCATAAAAAGTATAATTTGTTTGGATTTGGACAATGGACATGATTGTTTGGATCCAGCTGAAATATTCATCATTCAAGCTTACACTTACAGCAGAGTCAATTAGAGGCCCGCTTGTGGAATTGTCAATGTCCGACCACAAATTATCTTTAGCATTGGTTGTTTGAAATTAAGGGTGTTATTTATTCACTTGGTTTCTATTTATTTGAACTAATCTAAATTTAGTTGTTGTTAATCTTGAAAAGTGATTATTAATATTTATCTCAATTAAATTATATCATCCAATCTTTCAAAAAAAAATTATATCATCCAAGATAAAATAAAACTAATAGTGCCTAAATATTTCATATTTTCTACATTTCAAATAATTGACTCATGTTACTAATAATATATGAAAATATAAGCTAATAAAAATTATAAGAAGCTGAAGAAAAAAATATATTAATATAATATAAAAAATAACAGAAGAATATTGTAAAAGATCAAATTGTGTTAATTAATCTTAAACGTACATATTATGTTTTTTCAAAATACTCGTTAGGTTTAATTTGGACACGTGGATCAAGAAAAAGCGTTTATAGGTTACACAAAAGGTGATGATATAGACAAGATTTTAAGGTAAGTAGTTTTCTCTTCACTTGCATTTCACTAATTCTAATCATATTAATTAAAAACTTATATTATCTTACCATATCTAAACCTAATTAGCTCTTATCTTATTTTATTTGAACTTATCAACTTCTATGTTATCTCATCCTATACTCGTATCATACATGTATCGTATATATTATTTTCAATTAAGGCAAGAATAACATGGCTTTATGTAACGCCCACCAACTAGATAGTAGTTGCAATTGGTCTAAGTCAAATGTTATTTTAATCATCTAAAATATTTGGCTTTGTTGTTTTATTATTTTGTATCACTGCATTAGCCCATTCTAAAACAATACTGAATGGATTTAAATCTCCTAACTTAATAAAGAATCTAAAATCACAAGTAGCACAAGCCTTCTGAATTCCTTTATAAACTCGAACTTCTTGATTTACATCAATTACTAGATTTGGTCCATTGGGCCTGTCAAATAAAAAGAATGTTTAAGCATTTGCTCTCTTCTCAATTGTCAGATCGTTAACATGTTGGTTTGGTCTAGGTCAAAAATTATGATTCAATGAAGAAATAGCCAAAGTCAAAATTATGTCAATTTGAATATAGGCCAATTTCAACTCAAAAAATCTCAAAGTTCCTTTGTCTTAAAATATGGAACACACATTTCCTCCGTTTTTTTATTTTCACACCATTCATTTAACTTTTGTGATTTATAGATACGATAAAACATAATTAAGAGATATCTTATTTGAATTGTCTCAATGATATTTTATTAATGTCTACTTTTTACAATCTTACAAATCTTTAAAATATTGCATTGGTAAACGTGATAAAAGGAAGGTGTCAACCAAAAAAAATGAAGGTAGTAGTTTGCATTGCAGCTCTCAAGCATATCTACCCTCAAATATGTAAGATTTTTTTTACAACAGCAAAAGAGAAAGAAAGAACTAAGTAACAAAGCTAGAAAGAGTAGTCGTGCAGCCGTTAGCAACTAAGTGTGCTTTGTGAACTTGGTCTATGCTCACCTTCCAAACTACGCAACTTTGAAACCTACTAACCGCCCTCTGTATATCATGTATCGTCCACAAGATGTAATGTCCGATTCTTGATTATTACCCAGTATGTTGACTAAAATAGCAGAATCCTGAGAACAAGAAAATCCTTTGCTTGGAGGAAGCCCATCTAATAGCTGCCCATTAGGCAAGCTAGGGCTTCTGCATGAATGGCCGAGACTACCCTTCCTGAAACTCATTATTATCATTAGGTTGTGCCCATCCTAACCCTGCATTTCCTGTATGTTTTTGCTAGGATCTGTCAATAAAGATTGTAACCCCTTGAGAGCTTACCCATTGGCTTGGGGATGGAAGTCCTCCCTTCCTAACAATGCATAGTGGAAACTTGGGGGTCTAGCACCTATATCATTCCCTATAGAGGAGACCGGCTTATCCTGAAGGCCTCAGGATCGTCCCTTGCCTTCTCCATATGACGCAAGAGCGCAACCGAATTACCCTCGTCTCCTTTAAAAACCTTTCCATTTATGTTAACCCATAAACACCACTAAATCACTATAAAGGTAGTGATTCTGTCGCTATGAATACCATCCTCGCTATAAAACAGTAGGATATATCTCTGAATTCATTGTCGAATTGGAATAGATTCAGCCAATTCCAAATTGGGACCCAACGAGCAATCTTCCCACGGACACTGAGCTAGAGCACAATCTCTAAATAGGTGCTCAATATCTTCTTCTTCTTCATTCCCCTCCACAAATATCACATGCCATTTGTACAGGTATACCCCTATGGTGCAAATTTGATTTTACTGCTATTCCGTTCATAACTAATTTCCAAAGGAAGAGACTCCACTTTGGAGGGATAATGAGGCGCCATAAAACCTTGCAAAATTCCGGTGTCAACCCACTATCGAGACATGTGGCCAGGGGCGGACCTATTCATGTGTCTGGTGGTGCACGTGACTCACCAGTTAATTTAAAAATAATGTTGAATCAAAGAGACCCGTTAGTATAAATAACAGGTCTCTTTGATGTAAAAATATCAAAAGAACTTTGACTCTGTCACCTATCACTCTCTCAACGTGTTTTTTTTGTTAAATATCAAAGAGACCAGTTATTAAGATAACGGGTCTCTTTGGTGTTGCTGCGTATTGTGCTGCTTTCTTTAATAATTAAAGAGATCTGTTATATTTAATAACCGGTCTCTTAAGTTATCTCACTTATTATTATTATTATTATTATTATTATTATTATTATTATTATTATTATTATTATTATTATTATTATTATTATTATTATTATCGTTATTATTAGTTTTAATAATTTTTGCTTCTATTTATATCCCCCAAAGCTTATCAATTAAGTAAAAAAACATAAAGTTAATGTAATAATTTTATAGTATAATTTGTTTGTAACATGTTATTTGTAATACTTTTGATTTGTAAGATTGAATTTTTAAGTACTATTTTGTTGTAATATGGATTTTTGTGTCCTATTTTTGTATTGAAATCAATTTGGTGAAATATATATATATATATATATATATATAATTTTAGAATTGAAATTAATTATAAATAAGATTTGGAAAAATTAAAATGTACTTTTACAAATGATCAATAATTGATGGTGACTCACCACCTCAAAAATCCTAGGTCCGCCACTGATGTGGCCTTTACCCCCTGAAGAAAGGCATACCCTGTCTTAGTTTTATATTTTCCTGTTTTATGATTATGCCAATATAGGATGTCTTCCTCCTGCATTTTTTACCATTCCAAAGTTCAAGATATCTTTTGCATTATCTCATTCAAAATAATCCCTCACCTTCTGGATGTTCCATCTCTTTGGCCTCTTAAGATCAGATCACTAACCAAACCTGCCCCAACTCCACTTAAAGTTTGATCGGAAGCGAGTACCGGATTGCCTCCATCTACACATTTCATATTTGCAAACTTGATCCGCTCACCGGCACCAAACATGGAGTCATACAAGATCTCACAACATTGAGGAAATTGATTCAAACATGTAATAACCCGAGTTATTTCTTACTTCTTGCAAGTTTAATAACTTATGTATAATGTAGAGGAAGTCCTAAGAAACAATGATGTAAAGAATTTGATCTCAAGTTTTGAATATTAAAAGTAGTATTTGAATACCCTTAGAATTTTATCCAAGTTAAGTGACTATCATACTTTGTATATATTCTGATCATGTTTTGAATTATCCATTTAGGTATTGCTAGTAGTTCCTTTTAACAACCACTCCAATTGCACCAAATACTAGTCTTATAGTATAAACAAAAATTAATTTTAAAAACCCAATCATACACTTATGCTACAACATTTGTTATAACAAAAAACAAACATGTAAAAAAAATGATAGGTTATGAACTCGTTTTCTTAAACCACACGGCATAATACAAATCAAATATGCAAATATTTTAGTTAGACTTTGACATCATTCAAAGAAGGTTGCCTTCTTACTTTTATTAGTTTAATTATACTCGTAGAAACATTCAAACAAATGATTCAACACACCATTAACCAAAACGACCTTCTACCTATCCAAAATTAATTCAATTTCTAAAACATCAAAGATGGCACATATCACACGGCAAATTTGTCATGTGACAAAAAAAGATCTTTAATTATGTCACTCTCTTCTCAAAATTTATCAATATTCAAGTATTCAACTGTACATTGTATATTCCCTAATTTTTACAGGCTCGTTTCTGACATTACATCTATACAATAATAATTCCTCTGTATAAAAAGTATAAACTCCAAAAATTAAAAAAAATTGTATTTTTTCAAAAAAATCTAAAAAATTTAAAAATTGAATTTTTTTCTCTTTCATCACATGAACCGTCTTCCACATCCAACCAGAATCCGCCACGTCACCAAAATAATATTGTGTCACCCAATCTTATCTTTCTTGTGTCAGAAAAAATAATGGGGTGTAGTAAAAAACAGTGTTCACAGCTTGTCACAACTCCCTAGAAAAACACTCCAACTGGCTTCCATTATCAAATTTCTCATGCAAATACCCAAATTAAATCTCGAAATTCCAAGCTGGCAAACCTGACCCCACCAATGACTTTCTCCCACGTGTCCTGTCCTTATTGGTCAGAAACCCTCGTCCTATGGTGGGCCATCTTTGTACTAAGAGTGCGAAGAACCTGCCACGTGGCATCCCCTTTTTCGATCCGATCGTTGAAAAGGAGGGCCCTACTCACATTTGGGTCCCACAGGTTTCTTTGGATGGCCGTGAGGTTGGTCCGGGACACGTGATCGAGGATTGAACCTAGCTTTGCGACGTCGCGCTCCGCCACGGTCAAGGATATGTTGGCCCAAGGCACGACGTCTTCGAATGGCAACTTAATGCCATCCGCTATGATCACGGGTACGCACCCAAGTGCAACCGATTCGACCAGGCGTGGACTCCACGGAGCCCACCCTAGGGGACATAAACAAAACACGGACCGGGCGATTTCTGACTGGTAACCGGCGTACCTATGTCTCTTTAGGTAAAACCTCCGGTTATTGTTGAAATTCCGCCAAATGTGGGTCCTTACAGCCCTACAAAAGAATAACACAAACAACATCAATATTAAAGTGGAGTCATTGTTGTAAAGAACTTTTTTGGGTCACTATGCCACTAATAACATGGTGTTAGGATTTAAAGCACTTGTTCCAATAATAATACCATTATTATTATTCCTATTTCCTAAAGTAATTTTACAACAAGATTCCTTAATAAAGAAGGTAATGTGTAAATTAATCATAATCTTCTATCGATGTGATAAAGACTGTTACATAATGCAAATCGATTTAGATATATCGTATCTTAAAAGCTACAACATGGACTACTATTATAAGTTAATAATCCATTACATTAAATTTTTGACCAATTCAAATTCATATATAAAATATACGTCTAGACGAAAAAACAAGAATAGAACATTATTATCGATACAACGATAAAGTATAGTCTAAGTAGTCATAAGTAAAATCTACCGCGTAATTTTGTTCTAAGTTCAAATTATAATAACGCTTAGCAAAGTTCATAAATGTTTTGTGACATGCAAATACAAGTATATGACAAGAATCTAATCAAAATTCCAAATTTAAGAAAAACAAAGAAAAGGAAAGAAATTAAATGTCAATAAATTGGATATATTTAGTAGTCTTCATACTTTTAGCTTGTCAAAAGGGCAAATATTACCAAGGTCATGAGAATTAGTTGTGAAAATTAATAACACATCAACCACTAAATTTAATGGAGTAACTTCTCGTTCGAACACTTGAATGGCAAGCATATAAAAGAGTCACAAGGATAGAATTGGAATTTCAAGACGAAAAAAATTTAAAAGAGAGAGAGAAAAAGTATGTACTTGCTGTAAAAGCGGCCGCTGACATTCTTAGGATTGACCTCCATTTTACCCCTGAAAAATGCAAAAATATCACGACGACCATCCAACGGCCACCTTTCGGCCGTCGCACGTACACTTCCCGGCGGTATGTACGGCGGCACCACCACACTCTCCGCCGCTTGACACGGGTGTTTGTATTTCACCCCGAAAGTTTGTAAAATTATCGAACCTCTTAATTCTTTCATTATACCATCTTCAATTGCCACATTTTCCTGTAACAACAATAAACCGAATAAATAAGACGATGATTATTTATTTATTATTTTTATTAATTTGAACCCACTTAAAAAAAAAAAATGAGACCGAGGTCGGCTGCATCTTGCATGAGCCGGAATGAGACGATACGAGTATATAAACCAATCTTGGGCTTACCATGGTATGAAAACAGGCGCCGAAGTCGTGGGAAGCGACGAAGATATGGTCGGCTCCACGGCTTCGGTTCCAGAAGGGGAAGGCGGAGGAGACGTGAGTAACGGCAGAGGAAATGAGGGAGCGAGCGTGTCCAATAGCAGGGAAGCCATTAATTGTGCTGAAATTACAAGAAACATAGACAGGAACAAAGAAGAAATCCGCTTGATTTGGGTCAAATGTTCGAACATTACTTTCTAATAAAGCTCTATGAATAGCAACTTCAGATGCGAACAAATGTTTGGTGCATCGTTCGTTGTTTTGAACCCAATATTGGTTGTATTTAGCTGGCAATTCGTAAACATAAATCTTGACATCATCAGCATCCGCAAAGGAAGAACCCGTGTCCTGTGTCTCGGCGAGAGCGCGAGGCTTAGCAAGCGAGGAGGAGGAGGAGGACGACAATGGTGATGACGACGAAAGCGAGGGAGAAGGTGAATAATGGTTTCGTAAAGGAGGGAAAGAGATGAACAAATAGAATGAAATAAACAACCAAACAAACCATTTAATTGCTCTGTAAAAGATTATAGAGTTTCTTTTGAAATTATGATTATTGATGATTTCTTTGTTTCTACCATGTTTGTGATTTGAGTGTGAAAATTTCATCCTAACATAGAAACCTTTTCTTCCTTTGATGGGTATGTTAAAATCCACCATTTTTTTTTAAATTAGGAAGCGATTATTTAGGAGTTGGGTGAAATGGGATTTTCTTGGTTTGGTGTTGGGGATCAAGTAGAGAAGAAGGAACAAAGACTAGCTTAGTTTAGAGAGAGAAAGAACGAAAGAAAGAAAGTTTGTTGGGGGTTCGTTTTTGCTTAAAGATGATGAAATTTTTTTGCAAGTGTAGTTGGGAGAGATGCTTACTACTATTGTATTGGATTTGGTTGATTTTCTGTTATGCTTTCAATTAATGGTGATGGTATTATTGGTGAACATTTTATTATTGAATTGGGTTGATAGGTTATTAATACTCCCTCTACCCCTGATTATTTGTCTCATAGCTATATTTTACTTTAAACTAGATCAACTTTTGATTGCAAGAAATTAATAATATGGAGTAGAGAAATAAGTAGGACATAAAGTAATAGAGTATTTATGAGACTAATATTTGCAAGTCTCTTATGGACATTTATGTTATGAGACAATCTTTAAAAAAAATAATAATAATAGTCTCTTATAAACCTTTATATTATTAGACAATCTTTTAAGGATAACCTAAAGATAAAAATTGTACAGGGACAAAGGGAGTAATTGCTCTAAGTGAGCTCTGATAACTGTCATCAGGGGTCGGTAAAGGTTTAGCTAGTCTGGGGGTTAATCCGAGGATAATTGCTTCGATAATAAAGTCAATAAGATGAGTAAAAAAAAGGAGGTGAGAGATAATTTGTAGAGAGAAGTTTAGAGAGATAAAATCGTACTCCGTACCTTATAAGTGAATTATACTTAGCTTGGGTATTTATAAAAAGATAACCAAACTGGTGTCAAGTGTTGATCCACATAGCTTACATGATAAGTGGACGGTGAATATCCACGTGGTCAGAAGCAACTCTCCACGTGGCTGACGAGAATATGTCGATATAGTTTTCGTACCGATATGGAACAAGACCTAAGAAAAAAGTTCCGATTCATTGCTCTTTATATCATATCGGTGTCGGTATCATCTCATATAGTAACTATGATTAATTTTTCTCCCCTCTGATGTAATGTAAGGATAAATAATAGTGATGTTGATGAGATTAGATTAAAGTATATGGAGTATTAAAAGGTGACATAATTTTGATTGGTTTATTTAATTAAGTGGAGATCTTTTGTTGAGTAGAAAAAAATTGGACTTTGGAAGAAAAGGGTGTGGAAGAAGTTGGTTAGTTTAGTAGAGAGCTTCAGAAGTGGTTCTTGGAAATTGTGCAAAGCATATTAGTGTTTTTAATAATGACATAATGTTGTAGTTAAATTGACTAAAATGACCTTTAGCAAGTTTTGAATTTGTCCGTGATTTGGTCATGTACTGGACCTTCTTTGGCGGCTTTGTCTGTGGGCAAGTCGGCCATTAATTAAAAGTATATAAGAATAAATTTGGCTGTAACTTGTAATTATGGTTAAGTTTATATAATTAGATGATAAGTTTACATTGTCAGAAATCATAACCAAAACAGCTAATATAATGCAAGTACAATGGGGCCTTTGTTGCCTCTTTTGCTGGTCATGTGAATGTGAGGATTATAAAAGAAGAGGTGCTCTAAATGCAAATACATTAGGGGATTAAAGCTAAAGGTCAATAAATACTACTCGTGTCATACATTTGATGCTATTATCTTTCAGAATTGTTCTATTGACTTTTTTACAATTCTTTTCTAGACTTGTCGATCTTAAGCCACCAATATTTCTAGTTATAGTGAAATGAATTCAACAAAACTTATGCACGTTACTTAATAACTCTTTATTACAATTAAAAAAAAATGATAAAGTGTTATAATGTTTTACACAATATGCAATAGCCAATGAGACGACTTTCATAAATGTAAGATATACGAGTAGAATTTTTTTTGATACATTTCACAAGTTAAAAGCAATGTTGTTGGTCATTGTAATGGTACTAATTACTCCATTTTAAGTTGTATTCACATAAGGCGGTCCTCATCAACTAACTTTTACATCTTCTCATATGATTCACAGAGGTCTACTCATTAACTATCCTTCTCTCTGTCTACCTTGCTCGCTTATTGGAGAAAACCCAAGTTTATCAATATGATAAACAAAATTTGTTTATCAAATGGCAAAATTGTAAATAAATTAACAACTTTTTAGTAAATTTGGGTCCCAATATTGTTGATATATTTACGAAAATGCCATGATGACTGGGCATTTATGTTGTTTTATTTACCATTTTTCCATTTGATAAACAAATTTTGTTTATCAAATTAATTAACTGGAGCTTCCTCCGCTTATTGCTCACATAAAGTTCGAAATTTTCGAATTACAAATTTGGAGAAATTATAACTTTACCCATAATGTATAGATAATAAGTAACGTAATTACTTATGAAAGGAAGGAACAATCAAACTTTTTTTACGACGATTAAAGTAGTACTCTGTATTATATTATCGTGGTAGCGTTTGATAAGTGAGATTGTGAGAATGATGATATGTGAATACATGATTGCCCAAAAGAAGAAGCATTCTATTTAGATCTTACAGCCCTAAACACCAATTAATTTGGTTGCATTAAAAAGATTTAATAGTAATCCTAGATCTTCTCATTCCCATCCAATTCCCTGCTATTTTTTTCCTTCTTATTTCTCTACTCCTATTCCCTAAGTTCCTCTTGTTTCTATACCCGGCAATGTCTGTTAAATTTATTTGTTATTTAGCGACAATTTTTCATGTGGAATTATGACACATGAAGAATATATGTGGTTCAAATTTTGTACTTATAAACATATACACAAAAAAAATTGACATCACATGAGCTAAAATTTAGTAATCAGAAATTTAAGGCTTAATCAACTCTAAGATTCTTGATACAAAGAGACGTGATAATAACACTATTTTTCAAGCAAATCAATTTCAAGCAATCCATTATCCTCATCCATTGATAGAATCATTAGAAAAATTAAAAAATCCCCTACCTTTAGGAAGGTTGATAAGTAAGGATCCTACAAAGATTACAAATGATCATATGATATAGCATTATTTAGATACCACTAATACATAAAATCTTTCTTCCTATCTAGCTAATTTAGGGTCTGTCTATATTTATTAAACTGAACTGAACTGATTGGAGCTGAACTGAACTGAGCTGAATTAAATATTTTATAAGAGAAGAAAATTATTAGCTGAATTGATTATTGGAGCTAAACTGAACTGAACTGAATTGAAGCGAACTGAAATTAGACTGACTGACCCTTAATTCTTTCACTGATAATAATAACGTTAAAAAACGACATTTAAGTTACAAGATTTTAGTAGAAAGGGGCGTGGGAGGGCAGTGATGGAGACGAGACTGCACCTCACAATAAGTTATGAGATTGATAATTTAAATTCTACTTAGCGTAGTTGAAAATTTACCTTCCATGCAACCATGCCACGTACAATCCTTCCATGCATATTATTAGCAGTGCACTACTTAACATTATTAGAGACAAATTTGAATATTTGATTGCTCATCATATCACATAGTTGTTCACTTCGTTAGAAAATAATCCGATCACTTTGTAAGTTTGTTGCATGCATGTATACAACTCAACTTCATTAATCACCATATTGGCAATGTTGTAATAAGTGTCAAACTGACAATACATAAGAATGAAGTTTTTCAGCCAAGTGAATCACACTAATTGTGGACACACATGATATCTTAACCTCTCACTGAAAATTAGGAGAAACTCTTTGATAAGTGTTACATAAATTCAAATTACAATTAAAACAATTTTTAATTATAATTCGTAAGTGTATATCAGTTAGCTAGTTTCAAATAAATTCAGACAAATTTAAATTAGTGAAAATCAAAATAGAACACAACTTAATCGTTGATTGGGCTTATGTAACAAACTACGACAAGATGACCACCGAGAATGTATATGATTAACACACAAGTCAAGTAAGAGTCTATCATAAAATTAATTAAGAAAGTAACCTTAGCTCACAAGTCACATTAGCTTCCTACTAATTATGCGATAAGTGATGAGTTATTTTCACACATATGTAAATTAAAACTCGTAACCTAGCCTCCAAGCCGTAAACCAAGACACCATCTCAGCCTAAGTATGACCACGACTTGCACTTACACTATGTAATATTACTCGAAGTATCTTTCGAAAGTACTTTGTAAAATCTACACAAATAAAGAGATTATATTATTCGATAATAATATTTTATAAATAAAGTCAAATTGATCAAATATATTATTTGTAAACAAATTAGTGAAGTTTGATGATATTATATTATCACCACACAGTGCTTGGTCGGCAAATGACTTGGTTTAATTAGTGGCTAATATAAATCGAACTAATTAATCAAAAATGTCATTTCACTTTTACATCACTAACCTTTTGCTTGTTTGCATTAGCAACATATATCATGCTTTGTTTTCCTTATTAATTAATTACATTAGGTGGCAAAAGTATCAAAATCATCAACTATTATAAAAGATAAAAGCTCCATTATCTTTTGCATGGCTGCGTTACTTGTACGTCTTGTTATTTTAATTTTCTAAATTCTTTCAAATTTAGAGTGCCACACGTGTGAAATTTATATATATATATATATATATATATATATATATATATATATATATATATATATATATATATATATATATATTTCCATCATATATATATTGAATTGGGTTATCATAATCATTTTGATTAGACAAATAAAGTGATAAGCCTTGATTAATGTAGTATGTAGAACAAAAAAATTTCAAAAATTTAAGGGCTTTTTGTCAAAAACTACCTAATAAAACCAATATTTTGCGAGAAACTATTTATTAAAAAAAATGTTGTAATAAACTACCTAATAAAGGTAAAATGATGTAAAAAACTACCTAAGAAAAGGTAAAATGTTGTAAAATACTGTCTATACCGAATTTTCACCGTTGATCGACCTCAAAACACTCTTAAACCACCGTTTTCATTCCCAAAACTAACACAACTTGCTTGAAATCGTCTCCACCACATCTAAAGCACCTTCCAACCCCAAAACCACCACCTCTAACCCTAAAAACCACCATCCCGAAGCACTAATCTACCCTCACCAACTCAAAATATCCTCCAACCACCCCGAAAATAACATTACCACCTTGCAAACCAACCCTAACGGTGGTTTTGGGGTGTTCTAAGGTGGATCAACATCCTAAAATTAAGTTAACGGTGGAATTTTGGTCAAAGGTAGTATATTACAACATTTTATCTTTTATTAGGTAGTTTATTACAACATTTTTTTTATTAGGTAGTTTCTCACAAAATTTAGGCTTTATTAGGTAGTTTCTCACAAAATGTCCAAAATTTAATTGTCGATTTTTATGACATACAAATATAAACAAGTCATAATTAAAGATATTTCTTTATTATTTTACCAATTCCTCGAAGAATTATCTAAGACCATTCA